GCTGGTACCTACAGAGCTGTAAGGAGCAGCGGTGCAGGGTATGTTGAGAAGAGAGTTCCTCTGTCTGCCGTTTCTCAGTCTGCTACCGCTGAGCTCTCTTGGAGTTGCTGGGTGCCAGGCTGCCCTACTGAACCAATAACTTCAGTGCTCCCAGGTTAATGACCCTGACTATGGATGCAGATCACAGGCTGCATACTTGTACCGAGGCTGGTAACTCAAAAAGCCAATGGATTAGCATGGCAGCCAGGTAACTAGCATTTCCCAAAGGAAGTCACCAACGGCAGCCCATATTTCGGCACAGGCCCTCCCCTCTGGCAGTCTTACAGGAGGGAGGACCGCGATGATCAATACAACTGAACCGGCTGGAGGAACTGGTGTTACTGGTATTCAATGCAGACATGCCGCAGGGCTGAGCACATTTTTTAATGATTTACTTAACAACATCCAAAGACACACAGCCATTAAACCATTAGAATTTAACTACTTCAAGTGCAGAAAGTTCAAATCCCGTATGCATTAAAAGAGATTATACACATACGCCAAGGAACCATAATCGGATGAATCAGTGTGCATGACCCACAGCAAGTCTGTCGTGCGTTGCACTCTACTGACCAGTACGTTGGGGTGCCATTCACAATAAATGGCATCGCAATACACATATTTCATTGCCATGTGTTATGGACTCGCGCAATGTGATAAACACACGAGTGTGAAAGATCCCTTAAAGTTATTGGGCAATTGCTGGGCCAATATCTATCCATGATCTGTCAGGACAGCCAAAAAAGTGAGACAGCGCTACAAAAACACATCACTGCACAGCAATTATCAAAGGGTTGTTTTTATACAAATGCAAGAAAAATACTCCTAGCTGGCATGTAATGTCCAATATACCACCATACAGAACTGCGTGTTGTGGTGCGCTTCATTCATTGCACTGTGCAGTGGGTTGGGGTGCCATTCACAATGAACATACAGCGGGTGTGTTGTGTCATCTCTTGTGTTAACACATGTGTTGTCATAAATGCAGTTGTGAATGGGTCCCAGAGGCGACACGCGCAGGTGTGGGTGTGGTCCGCACTGAGCGACACTATCAGAGGAGGTGACACTGAAATGACTGACAGTCATTTTGGTGTCACCCCCTCTGCAAAGGTTGCACTCAGTCATGGACCGAGAGCCCAACGGCTGCACAATAGAGGATGGGAACCTCTTCTCCTCTCTTTACTGGCGTCCACCACTAAGATGGCCGCTGGCAGTGAAATGCACGTGACATGATTACGTGCATGTGCAATGATGTCACGTGTAATGTAATGACATGCGCACTCAGGCTGGTGATGCCACTGATGGGCCCTTATAAGTTACCTTATATGAGGCTAATACCTATCCATCAAAACTGCCACCAAAGAGAGAAGGCGCTCCTAAAACAAGTCTCTGCACAGCAATTGTCAATCACAAACATATATACGCCTTGCTAGAGATGTGCAATTGTGTATATACATACATATATAATTAAATGATAATACAAATATAATATTAATAATTATTATTGATACAATACAACCCGGCCACTCACAGATTCTGTGAAAGAACACACACAGCTCTCTGCATTCCCCTAATCCGATAACACAGAACTGTGGCACATTCTTCCCTTCCAATTCTACATATAGAACTTCCCCTGGCTGGGGTTGCACACAGTGGCAGGTCCTACACACAGTAACATTGAAAACATTTGATTCATTGATGGGAAGTGAATTCAGAAAATGGTGAACAAAACCAAAAAGCAAAAAAGAAAAGTTGGTGTAAATCTTTTTCTCACCTCTCTGAGCTCCTCTCTCTCAGAATCCGATTTCATTTCCAGCTGAGGGACATTATAATTAGGGAGGTTGGAGGAAATTAACCCAATCGGGGACAAACATGTGTCGGCCACACGCACGTACAATCAGGGAGTTTAAAGGCACATTTAAAAAAAAATGAATGCATGGGTTATGGCACCCACAGTGCAAAAAGGAAAGCATGCGCATTGATTGTGGGGTTTATTACATTGGAGCCTGCAAAGCATTGGATTGATTGGTTTGGAAATGTTGCAATTGGTAAACGTCGCCGGGAAATTGATACATGTATAGACAGCGTAAGAGTAATCTTCAATTACTCTTGACACGCGCCAACACATAAAAACATGTTGCAGCGTCATTCATTTTGAGCTCATGCCAGAAAGTGAACGTTTAATCCTAAATGAGTATATAGCTCTGCGATCTTAAATAAAAAAATTATAATTTGAACCTTTAAATAAGAACTCCAGTTTTTTTTAAACATTAACCCTTGAAGTGGAGCTACCCCCATAATGCAAGGGTTAACTGCCGGTGTTGGCCTAGGGGTCGGTATGCAGAAGATATAGTCACCTGATCCTCGGTCCCGTGACAGTCAGCACTCACCTCCCTCCCCCCTCCACTCTGGCTGTGGTCCTCACGTCTAATGCAGGTGAATGGACCTTGATGCTGTCAGCGGGCCTTAAGGTGCCCATACACCTTACGATTATCGGACGATAATCGTATGCGATCGACTTTTCGAACGACAATCGTACGTGTGAATAGAGTGCCCGAACCGACAGCACTGTGCAATCGTACGACTTTTGGCGGTCAAGCATGTTTGAAAACTTTGCTAGATCGTACGATTGTCGTAAGGTTGCTGGCGTTTCCGTCCGTCAAAAGTCGTACGATCTACACTGCGCTTGCGCTAATGAAAATACGGCAAATCAATTACCGCATTTCGTCCAGGTGCTTCTCGTTAATTACGGCTAAATTAATCCTGCGATCATCGGTGCAGGATGGGGCTGCCGTACGAAAATCGTACGACTATTCGATCATCGGACGAAAAGTTTCGTCCCATAATCGTAAGTTGTATGGGCACCTTTAGACCACCGGAGCCCGGGGGAGAGGAGGCTGCTGGGAAAGTTTACTTTTATCAAAGAGAAGGTCAGCGCCCTGTTTAGAGCCGGGGGGAGAGGAGGCTGCTGGGATCGAGGATATAGAGCAAAAGGAGCACTTAACTCTTGCAGTGCGTTGGTTGTTACACCGATATTACGTTTTTGGTATTCACATTGTATCGATTTTTTTGAGATTATTTTGCAGATTCCGAGACTGTTATTTTTCACTTTTGTTTATCAGCGCGGCGTAAAAAATGGCCAGAGCTCTGCACCCAGCAGCCCATCTGTACAAATCAATGATACGCTGTATGCTGGAAAACATTGCTCTGAGCGCATACTTGTGTGCAGGTGGCTCTCCCCCTGGAAAAAATGGGGTTTTGACAACTGCGTCCCCAACTTCAATATATATATAAAACATATGGGGACACCAGGAGCAGTAGAGCACGGTACCTTGAGGCTGCATTGCCACTTGTCTGTTTTTGAAGCCCACCCATCACTTACATAGTTACATATAGTATTTGAGGTTGAATAAAGACATTAGTCCATCAAGTCCAACCACTTAATATAGATTTTCATGTTAAACGCATACATACTAATTCATTTGTAAACGTTACACTTCCAGGTATTTATCACCTCTCACAGAGATCACAGGACCCCCCCTGACTATGCCGTCATCTGCTTTTCTCTCCAGAAGGATGGAACCATCTTTGTTCAGGCATCTTCCAAAGTCATCATTTACTTCCTGGACTGAGATGCTGGCTCAGAGATGACACACCATGTAAATCCCGCTTATTGCAGTTCTCGGCAGCCTCTCAGCAGCTTGCAGTGTTACAATGTTGCAGCCTGATCACTGGGGGGAGAGGAGACTGAGGAAATGCTTACTATTGCCTGCATCAGACTGATCACTGGGGGAGGGGAGACTGAGGAAATGCTTACTATTGCCTGCATCAGACTGATCACTGGGGGAGGGGAGACTGAGGAAACGCTTCCTCCTGCCTGCAGCAGACTGATCACTGGGGGAGGGGAGACTGAGGAAACGCTTCCTCCTGCCTGCAGCAGACTGATCACTGGGGGGAGAGGAGACTGAGAAAATGCTTCCTCCTGCCTGCAGCAGACTGATGACATCATCTCAGTCTAGGCAAAGTCACTGGACTGGAGCTCGAGGACATTGAGTTTTTCTGAAACATAATACTGTTGCTGCATTTGTGACGTCTCAGGAACATATTCATGTAGACTTGCAGGTCCAATTTAGGCGCATGTGTTTTCATTGAGATCAATGGAAACGCTGGAAAATGTGAGTCTTAATGAGTGTCCACAAGGGGTTCATATGGATTTTTGACTTTAATGGAACGCCATCTGAATAAAAGGGAACACGTGTACATGTGGCCTTACTGTCAGATCTCAGTACTGACCCACCTTCTATAAGTACCCATTTACACCATTGCGCACATGTATGTGTTAATATGCATGTTTATGTGCTCCGCATTAGAGCCATGCATTCATTTAAATGGCCGGCCAGCAAGGTTAATTGAGGGTCCCATTGAGAATGAATGGTACCACAGTGCACCGAGCCATGTAAGGTGCATTGCCCTGCATTAACCCAACTCCATACTGTGAATGGACCCTAGTGCTGGATTTTCCGAGTTTTATAGACTAATCCTTTAAGTCCCTAAAAGACTTTGCATATGGAATCAGGAAAGTGTGACTTGTCCAAGGCAATTAATCAGCCTCTTCTTATAATTGTTTGACCTGCCTCGGGGCCATAAGTTGGAGAATCGGTATGCTGCTCAGGGGCCAAATCAGATAGATGTTATTGCTCACTTTTAAATGCCTACAGGAGCCAGGACTCGAGATGGTTAAATAATAATGATAATTTGTAGGTGAGGTTGTCAGTTGAGACTCACCCTTACTTGGAATAAAGTCAAACAAGCTCTTCTGGATTGCTAAAACACTTTCACCTCCCGTACAGCATTTCTAACAATGGCGTCCGCTGATGTGGGACCCGGGCTGAGCTGCTCCATCTGTTTAAACCTTTACACCGATCCCGTCACATTGACCTGTGGACACAGCTTCTGCCACCTCTGCGTGGACCATGCGCTGGATACCCAAGGGGAGTCTGGAGTTTATGCCTGCCCAGAATGCCAAGAGCAGTTCCAAGAGAGGCCTGTCCTGTCAAAGGATCAATCACTACATGAGGAGCCTGGAAGCCTCTGTGACTATTGTGTTCAGTCTCCCGTACCGGCTGTTAAATGTTGTCTGCTGTGCGAGTCTTCTCTGTGTGATGACCACGTCTATGCCCATAGCAAGTCTGAGCAACACATTCTGAGTGACCTGAACATGGTCTGCCCTGCACACAAGAAAGTCCTCGGATATTACTGCTGTGAGGACGCCGAGTTTATCTGCGATGCCTGCATTCTGTCTGAGGAACACACCAACCACCGGGTGAAGCCAATCCAGGAGGCCTCGGAGGAGCTTAAAGAGTTAGGGAGAGATCTACTGGACCGACTGGCCTCTAAGATAGCAAAGGAGGAGAGCAGGGCTCAGGATCTACAGGAGATGGGAAGGACAATGCAAGAAAAGTTGACTTTTATCAAAGAGAAGGTCAGCGCCCTGTTTAGAGACATCAAGAGACAACTGGACAACCTAGAGAAGAAAGTCCTCAGTGAGATCTCCCAGCAGGAAGAGCGGCTCTCTCTGTCAGTCTCCGATCTGATCTGGCAGTTGGAAATAAAGAAGGAAGAGCTTTCCAGGAAAATGCAGGACATCGAGGAGCTCTGCAACATGAACGACCCCTTATCTCTTCCTGAAGAGTGGAAGGCCATCAAAGAGGACCTTGCCAAAATGGAGAATGGAACCAGCACAAACGCTGAGCAAAAATCATTCGGCAATCTGGACGAGGGCCTGTTCTCGGTGACCTTGCATACGAGTTTGGCAGGAATCGTTACTAGCACCAAGAAAGACTTCTACGTCCAGCAGGCTCCAGACTTTGGACTGGATGTCAACACGGCTTCTAATAACCTATATGTTTCCGGGGACTTAAAAACTGTGTCAGCCTCGGATATAAGCCACAACTGCACCAGGACGCTGGAGAGGTTTCAGTACAATCAGGTTTTGGGGGGCAAGAGTTTCCTCTCCGGCAAACATTACTGGGAGGTTGAGACGGGAGAAGGCGGCAACTGGAGGCTTGGCATGTCCTATCCCAGTATCACCAGGAAAGGCTACCACTCCCTCATTGGGCATAGCAACAAGTCCTGGGGCCTGTGTAGGTATTATAACCAGTACTTTGCAATACACGACAGGAGAGTGCTACCAGTGCCGCACGAACCATCCTGCAACAGCCTGGGGGTGTATCTGGACTATGAGGCCGGGCAGCTATCCTTCTATGAGCTCTGTGAACCCATCAGACTTTTATACAGCTTTTCCGTTGCCTTTTCCGAACCTCTTTTTCCAGTACTTGGCGTATATACGGGCTGGGTGAGGATCAAAAATTAGTTATTGACATCACAGAGGACCTGGTGATTTTTGGGGGAATGCCTCTTACTTTGCCCTGTTTTCCCAAACCAAAAATGAGTCCTTGCCCACTTCACTGCTGGAAAGAAAAGTAACTATTTTCTGTTTATCGGCAAGCCGGGCCGCATCGGTGAAAGGTTGGGTTTGCCATCCTGGATGGAAGCAGAGTGTCTCTGCCACCTGATGCAAAAATGGTCAATCGGTACAGAGCATGCCAAAGATCGGGCGTAGAACAACAACAGAGACTAGGAGCACCAAAGAGCTGGCAGACGATCCCCGCATCCCAGTGGGCAAACGTAGTTGGTTGAACATCCAATGTTGAAGTTTTCCACTGCAGGGAGTACTGGGGGCAAAATTGAAATTTGGGGATGGCAAGTCATTAAGAGCAAAAGAGCCGATAGCCATGTAAATATAACAATGTAAAGGTTACTTTTTTTTAAAGCTTGTGAAGAAAGGTTGGCCCCTTTGTCTATTTTTTAATGCCTTGCCCCCTTAGGGGAGATTTACCCTCTCAATTTGCCCTGATTGACCATTGTTCCTGTTTATTTACAAACAATTCACAAAGCCATTTGCCCTGCGAATCTCTGTGAAAAGAGACAAAAACAAATGTTCTTAGGATAATTTCTTTTTCAGGTTGAATGTAATGTAATGTAATATATCATGGCCACTAGATGGAGCTGATGAGCATAGGAAATGATTACTTTTCTATGATCCTCAGCACCACCAAGTGGTCATAATGTGGTATTACATTACATACAACCTGAAAAGCTGCGACAACTTTGGTGTGGCACTGTGCGAGGGCAGAGACACAAACTAACCTCTCCTTTCAAGGTTCTGAGGGGTGCAAGAAGCCAGCAGGTATGGGGCAGTCTGCAGGTGCTCACCCAGAATCAAAAAATCATTTTTGGAGGAAATTTTTCAAATTGTTTCCTTTTCTCAGTTTGTTTTAGAACCCGATATTTACCCTAATTAAAGGGTCTGCCGAGACAAAACTTGTCAGGTTTTACTGCTATCTGGGGGTCTGTTAGAAAGCCTTTCCTTCACTTCCTGTCATGGTGACAACATTTTAACCAGACAGGAAGTGGGGGAAAGAATGCAATAGAGACAGACAGCAATACAATCTAATTGGGGGGTTGGGTTCATTACTCTAATATTCAGAATATATTTTATTTCTGTCTGTGATGTTGCTGGAAATTTTTCTTCACTTCCTGTCTGGTGAAACCGATGTCACTGGGACAATAAGTGAGGGGAAATCTCCTATGTTATAAAGAACACTTTCTTCCTATGTTCAAGTCAGTGACCCAGAACAAGGACAATGATTTCAAGGTTGTTCTGGGTCGGTGAGACTGACAGGACAATGACATTTTCAGCAACTGAGTCATTTTTACAGTTGAATTATGGACACAATATGATTCAGTCTGTCACTAGCATTAGTGACAAAATATTGTACACAACAGTGTTGTACACTTGCATCTATATAACTATGTTCTGTAATTTTAGTATTGTCTTATTCGGATTTTGTATTCTGAAAACTGTCAATAAAAATGAATAAAAAAAAAAAAAGATGTAGATAGCACAAGAGGAACTGAGTTGCACGGTGTCGCTGGTAAATGGCTGGAGCATGGACAGATATGAAACATGGCGCTATGCATTTATTAAGGTACATGTCATGTTGACGCTGTCCTTGTGTGTCACTCGGCTGTAGATCCTCCAATCATCTCTGAATTGGTGCTGACACTGTCCTTCTTTCTGGGATGGGGGCTACTTGTGTTCCCCATGGTCCCTGTGTGTCAGTGGCGTAACTAGTGACCTCAGGGCCCCGATGCAAGAATCCATGAAGGGCCCCCCCCAGAGGAAAAAAATTAGGTACATTGTGTTAAAAAAAAATTTTTTTACTAAACCGCTGCTGCCCGGCTGGATGGTGCTACACGCTGCGCCCGGAACAAGGTAAGGGGAGCAGCGTGAAGCATGTAGGGCCAGGACAGAAGGAAGAGGTCCCGGGACAGGTAATCAGCGGTCACCAGGGGCCCCTTCCTCCTGTCCTGGGCCCCCTCCAAGTGGCAGAACTCCAGGGCCCGGTCATGGGGAACAAAAGTAGCCCTCCTCCAGAGGGAAGGACAGTGTCGGCACCAATTCAGAGATGATTGGAGGATCTACAGCCGAGTGATACACAAATAAGATACATTTCTGTTCAGAGTTAAGGGACTTGAATGTTTACCTCCGGAGTTTAGTGTCACTTTAAAGATAACTGGGACAATCTTGCTGGAAAGCTAAGGCAGTTGTTCTGTAACTTGGCCACTAGGGGGCGCACATCTACTGGTTACTGAAATGCCAATAAAGTGCATGTCCCGGCAAAATACAAAAAGCAATATACAGTATCAGTATACCTCCAATAGATGCAGATTACACCATGTTTCATCCCTTTGAAAAGGCTCAAAATCAATAAGCAGAAATCCAGTGAGCTCCCAACTTCCTGTTTGTGGTGACAGCACAGTGCCTTTGCTACAATCAAATCCTAACCAGCGTGGTCAGCCCTGTCTGCTGAACTACAGAACTTCGCCTTTTCCTGCACCCATCTCTGTCCCTATCCGCATGCATACATTGGTTTCTTTCCAAGGAAGGCAATGCTGCTGCCCTGATCAACATGCTTTAGGGAAAGGACTCATGGGACTCAGGGTGCGCCTGCATCATTAGTTGCCGACCTCCCAGTAGCTGCCCCTACAAGAACTGGCAAGCCCTGTGATGAATCTCCATCCCAAGAGCTGAGTGATCATGTAACCGCTAATCGGTCGGCTCGCAGTCTCTTCTCAATAATAGGTTTGGCTTCACTTGTCTTTTTCTTTTTTAGCATCATAAACTACATTGTAAATAAATATTTGTTTTTCTCTTTCGTTAAACTAAAACTCCAGTGAGGGAATGATTGTGGATGGAGAAAAGGGTTAAAACAGCCCCATGATGACACCTAGATCAATCCATACACCAGCTGAGCTATTTTTTAATATAAAGCACTATCAATTTACGTTTATGTAGCTCTGACATATACCGCAGTGCTGTACAGAGAAGACTGAGCCAGCCACATCAGTCTCTGTACAGAGGAGCTTACACTCTAATGTCTCCCCCTCAGGCACACATTATTATTATGCATTTATATAGCTCCCTCCTGTTCCGCAGTGCAGTACAGAGAACACTGAGCCAGTCACATCAGTCTCTGCACCAGAGGAACTTACATTCTAATGCTCCCACCCCCCCCCATGGTCACACTGAATTTAGAACCTATTTAAATCAGATGCCAACTAAACTACTAGTCTGTAAACAGCAGCTGCATCTTGAAGGGATTCCCTAGTTTGATTGTTCAGAACAACCACTTAATTGTATTTAAAGAATTGAATTTGCTAATTCCCAGCGCAGAGCGTTTTGTATACCCTGAGCCAGATCTTGCACAAGCCATGGATAGTAAAGAGTTAAGTATGGATCCTCCCGCCCTGCTGCTGGCTCCAATCACTGTGCAGCTTCTTCTTCCTGTTTTCCAGCATGGCGTCGTCCGCAGACCTGAGAGACGAGCTGAACTGCTCCATATGTCTGAGCATTTACACCGATCCCGTCACCCTGAGATGTGGGCACAACTTCTGCCAGCTGTGCATCGACCGCGTGCTGGATACCCAAGCAGAGACCGGGGTGTATTCCTGCCCAGACTGCAGGGAAGGGTTTCACAAGCGCCCCACCACGCACAGGAACCTAGCTCTGCGTAACATAGCGGAACGGTTCTTGTCTGCTCAGTGCAAACAGGAGGATTTTGGGATCTTGTGTTCTTACTGCATTCACTCTCCTGTACCTGCTGCTAAATCCTGTCTACTGTGTGAAGCTTCCCTGTGTCATGACCACCTGAGGGTGCACAGCAAGTGTGAGGAGCACGTCCTAAGCGATGCCACTTCCTCCCCATGGAACAGAAAATGCGACGTCCACAAGAAACCACTCATGTATTACTGCATGAAGGATGGAGCCTGTGTTTGTCTGTCCTGTTGCCTAAATGGGGAGCACAGGGGTCACCAGGTAGACCTAATGAACGAAGCCTTTGAGAAGAAGAAAAAGAAACTGTACGCCACCATGGAGGTACTGAGGGCAAGCAAAGACAAGACTGATACCATGGTCAAGAGTTTGTATGACCGAAGGAAGCAATTGCCAAGAAAAGTTGAAGCTCTACAAAGAACAGTCAACGATTTGTTTAAAGATCTCAAGAGGCACCTGGATGACCTGAAGAAGAAAGTTCTCAATGAGATTTCCAGGCAAGAAAAGCAAAACGGGTCGTCAGTCTCTCATCTTATCCAGCAGCTGGAGATAAAAAAGGTGGAACTGTCCAGGAAGATGCATCACATCGAGGAGCTGTGTAACATGACCGATCCAGTGTCCGTCCTCCAAAACTCCGACGGAGAGGACTTCGGCAATTCAGAGTCAGAGAACGAGGGTCACGATGAAGACAACGACGTGGAAAAGAGTGGAGGGAACATGGCTAACCTTGCCGACGCCGTAGGCGATCTAGACGAAGGACTGATCTCGGTGACGCTGCACAAAGGTTTGGCTGATATCTTGACCAACGTAAGAAAAGGTTTCCCCACAAGGTGGGTGTCAGACATGTTGCTGGACGTCTCTACAGCTTCTAACAACGTCCATATCTCAGGGGATCAGAAAACTGCGTCTTGGTCCCAGAAACCACAAGGTCGCCAAGCAACGCCACAAAGATTTCAGAGCTTCAAAGTTCTCAGTTCCACAAAGCTCTCCTCTGGCCGTCACTTCTGGGAAATAGAAGTTAATCAGATTGGGAACTGGAGGTTAGGCATGGCCTATGCCAGTATTGACAGAAATGGAGACCAGTCCAATATTGGGAATAACGACAAGTCGTGGGGTTTGAGGTGGTGGTGCAATCAGCTCTCTGTGAGGTACGACTGTAAGGAAATAAATCTACCTCCTAAACTCCTGGGCCAGTCGGTTGGAATATACTTGGATTACGAAGGAGGACGTTTGTCCTTTTACGACATGTGCAACCCTCTTAGGCACTTGTACACTTACAAGGCCAGTTTCACCGAACCATTGCATGTTGTGTTTGCCTTGTGGGACAATGCCTGGTTAAAGGTGTAGCTTACATGAGCCTCCGATTAACATCAGAAAATTTACATTAGCTTATGATCCCCACTGGTTTTGGGAACAATTTTAGAACCAATGTGATGCTTCCTCTTGGACTTTAGGACAAGGTGCCAGGATGGTTTGGCTTAATCCTGAATTGAACTCACCTCACACCTCCTGAATATAGGCCTAAGGAGCTAGCAACTGAAAGTTTAGGCTAAGCTATGCATTTGGGTTACCATACAATTACCATTAGCCATTAAAAAGCCAAAGAGGCACCATATCTCCCTGGGGTTACAGCTCTTGGTTTAGCAAGGCAATGGCCACTCTTTTTGCCTGTCCTCGTCCTCCTGTCGCATAACACAGACTCGGGGGACTGTGAAGAAGCTTCTGAACCCTATTGTGAGTGTGACATCACAGTGTTAGGCCTGAGGGTGGAAAGGTGTGCCATTGGAGAGATTTCCCTTCACTTCCTGTCCAGCAGCATGTGAGGGGAAAATCTACACAAAGTAAAACAAATCCTCTCGTAGTTGTCACCTGAACAGGTGTCCCTACCGGAAGGTTTCCTATCTGTTCCCGTTTAATGATCAATAAACTACTAAACTATCAAATCCAGGTGAACCATCTATGGTTGTTTTATCACTTCTCATTGATGAAAGTGAAAACTGTTACGTGAAATTACTGTATCTATAGTTCAGTGACTTGAGCACCGTGTACTAAGCCCATAGGTGCTTTAGAGTTTGGTCCACCTAAAACCAAAATTCCAGTTACAGGTTGATATCGGTGGACTCTAACTTGGCAAATAAAAGAGCAGCATTACTATTTACCAAACCTCAGAGGTTCTTAAAGGATCAGTCCACCCAAAACAAATGTTCCAGTTACAGATTGATTGGCGGGCCCTAGCTTAGCGAATTGAGCATTGTCTACAAAGCTACACAAGTTCTTAAAGGAGAACTATGAGGTGAGTGCTTTTCAGTCACCTCATAGATCTAGCCGACCTGTGACAATGAGACTGTCACAGGTCGGCTCAGTAGATCGGGAGGTGAGCGAGCACGTACCGGCGTTCGCTCACTTCTCGATCCTGTCACGGCTCTCTGCCGTGACAGGGGAGGGGCTGGATTCCCCCCTCCCTGCTCCGATCCTCCAGCGCTGACTTGCAGAACGGACGGGGGAGGGGGCGGGTACAGCTGGCTCTGCCTCTAGATAGGCAGAGCCAGCTGTCACTCACGCAGCTGGGCGGATCTCGACATCGATGTCGGGATCTGCTCCGGCTGCGGCGTCTCAGTATACCGCGAGCTGTAGCTCCCTATATACTGAGCTTAGGGTGACAGGAGGACGCTAGTTTGTGTCCTTCCGTTACCCTAAGGAGAACTATGGGGAAAAGCCCTGACCCCATAGTTCTCCTTTAAGGGATCAGTTCACCCAAAACCAACATTCCAGTTATAAGTGGGCTGAACAGTTCACTGGCTCGGGAACTCCCAGAACCACAATATCTCTGCCAAAGAATCTGGAAGTGACTGGCTTCATAATATGCATATATTGAGCAACTGGAAGGACAAGATCCCTTGTAAGCCTGGCATCTCATTGGTATATTAATATAGTTTTTGTGTGATATGAACCTTAAAGTGACATTAAACCATCAGATTTTTTAACATAAAACAATACTGTAATGTGCGCCTTACTGTAATCCATGGTGGTTTCCCTTCTCTTTGCTGCTCTTCCTTTTAAATCCGTATCTGTTCTCATGCTGGGGCAGAACTTCTGTTTTGCAGCAGACTGCCTTGTCTCTGGAATGGATTCATGGTGTCTGTGTGCAGGTTCACAACCTGAGCCAGCACTACAGGAAGAGGCACTCAGCTGCAAAGGGAAGTTCTCCCCCAGCATGAGAAGAGACCAGGCCAATCGGGAAGCCGGGTGCCGTGTAATGACACGTTGCCCGGCTTCCTGATTGGCCAGCTTCAACCAATCAGGAAGCCGGGCTATGAGTCATTACACAGAGCCCGGCTTCCTGATTGGCCAGAAAGCTTGCTCCATGCTTCCTTGTCACTTGGTGACGAGGGAGCATCGAGACGGCTTCCATGCTAATCGGGAAGCTGGGTGGCGAGTTATTACGCGCCGCCTGGCTTCCTTAAGGGGACTTCCGGTATCGGTATTCGGTATCAGTGAGTACCGAAAAAAGAAAATATCGGTACTCAATACTGAAAAACCGGTGCCTCCCTAGTTTAAACCTTTGCGGGTATTTTGGGGGCTGTCGAAATCCCATTGGAGAGATTTCCCTTCACTTCCTGTCCTGACGCATGTGAAGGAAAAACTTCCCAAAGTGAAAAATCTTTTGGTTGTCACCTGAACAGGTGTCCCTACTGGAAGATTTCCCATCTCTTCCTGCTTTGGTGACAACTCAATATATTTCTTCACTTTCAGTCCCGGTGTTATTAGTCACCAGGACAAATAAAGAGGGTGAGAGTCTCCCCAGTGGGAAGATCTCTAAAAGTGGTAAATGTTCTCAGTCAGGTCTTAAGCGATATAGAGGGAACGACACTCCCTAGGTGCTCTCTGGGTGTGGTCACCGAAAGTCAGCTCTTTACTTGAGTAGGAACTCGGTGTACATTGAGGAAAATGCCAAAAAAAGAACGTAAGAAGTCCAGATTGAAATGTTCTGGTGTAACCATCATCAAGAGCGAGTCCAGTACGCACTTTTGTTCGGCAGTGCCAGGCCCTGATGAAGGGGGGGCCCTTTGAACCCCCAAAATTCATTGGATTTTAATGACATGAGTCTTAAAGGAGAACTATGAGGGGGGGGGGGGGGGGAGTCACGCAGCTGGGCGGATCCAGGCACAATTGTCGGGATCCGCTTCACCTGCGGCGTCTCAGTATACCGCGAGCTACAGTATACTGAGCCTAGGGTGACGGGAGGACGCTAGTTAGTTCTCCTTTAACTGGACTTTATATGTTCTGCTTTTGGCATGAACACCTAACAATAAAATCATGACAGGGGTTCTAACCCTTCTTCACTCAACAAATGTTTTCACTGTAGACGCACTCTAACGAAGCTCCAGGTATTACCTTCCTCATCTACTGGGCCCTTCCACCCCCAGGCCCGACACTGGGATGTCACACACACACAATATGGTTCAGGAGCTTCTTCACAGTCCCCCCCGAGTCTGTGTTATGCACCGGGAGAGCGGGGCCAGGCAAAAAGAGGGGCCTCTGCCTTGCTAAACCAAGAGCCGTAACCAGAGCCGTAGCTAGTTCCTTTTGCGCCCGAGGCAAGAACAGAAAATTGAGCCCCCCAACAGACGTGTTATGTCACCCAATGCCACGCACAGCGTCATGCACCCCGCCTCCAGGATGGCGGCACCAAATAGCATAAAATATCGGGGGGTCTAAACAGACCTCTGACATTTCCCTTTTGAAGTAGAAAAAGAGATTGAGGACACAGAGTCCTCTGCCCATACAGTGGGGAATGCAAGCTGTGTTGGACGTCTGTCGCTCCTGTTGCCAATGGCGCCCTGTGCTCGCCATGGCAACAGGGGCGCAGCGAGGCTGGCCCTGGCTACGCCCCCTCTCAGCTGCGCCTGAGGCGAGTGCCTCACTCGCCCCATGGTAGCTATAGCCCTGGCCGCAACCCCCCGGGAGATGTGGTGCCCTTTGGCTTTTCGATGGCTAATCGTAGGCCTTAAAGCAGAACTTTACCCAGATCTCTAAAATAACAACAAACAGTTAGAAATGTTCAATAATGACAATCTACACACACATACTTCTAGATCATTGCCGGCTTTGTATCCTTTGCATTCCTTATTTCTCTCTTCTTCCCCAGTCTTCTGACAGTGGTCATGTTTACTAAAGGCAGGTTACTAGCTCTCCTTTCACTTCCTGGATTTCGGGGACATGTGACCAGGACATGTGACCATGCACATCATCTCAGGGGAGGAAAATGCCGTTCCTTGAGATCTCGTGAGATTACAGATGAGATTTCCCAGCAATGCTCTGCTGATGACAAGCCAGTGTGCGTTGCTTTGGCAAACTGAAGTCATTTTGCCCTTTCAAAGCAGGAAGTGAAAGCTCTGCAAGTGGAAGTATTTCGCAATCACCTGACATGTCTGTTATTATTAATTATCATACATAGAGGGGTGCATTGGCAGAGTCTGATTTTTGGGTGTAAAGGTTCCGTTTTAACACCACCTGCTGGCCTACAGGAGGGGAAGTCTACCACTGGCACCTAGTATAGTTTGTGATGGGCTGTAAACGTAGGTCGCCGCGATGACGGGGAATTTACTAAGACTGGAGCGGCCGTGCACGGCAGCCAATCGGCTTCTAGCTTTCATTTTCAAAGCTTAACTGAACAAGCTGAAGATAGAAGCGGATTGGATACTGTGCACAGCTGCTCCAGTTTTAGTAAATTGCCCCCCAATGTGATCCGGGGTCAGGGGACGCCACCTCTGCCCATGCAGCTGCTCTTGGTGCGCGCCTGTGCGTCCGGTCTACAGATCCTGGCCCTCTTCCCACTGTAAAATGTATACCACAAACATGTTGACTTATAAGTTGCATGTTTGAAGTTTCTGTCACTCTGTATGTGTGTCCATGTAATGACTGACTGCTGAAATAAAACCAGTTACATTGAAAGTCACCTTGTTTTTCAGGAAGTTTCTGACCCATAGGAATGTACGAAGATAAGGAGAGCATTACCTGATTGTACCCCCAAACCTCCCGCTCCCCTCTAGATCACATCTCAGCATTATTTTCTTACCTTGTTACCCAGGCATGACTCCCAGAGACAGGTTCACGATGGGGCTTGTAGTTTCACCACAGCCGGAAGGCTGAGGTTGGCTACCCTTACTCTAGAGCGTCAAGGCAGCAGCACTGTTGTCACAGGAGGGTTTTGAATGCTGCGTACGGGGTTTAATGGCTGCTGAGACCGACCCGGACACATGATGTCAGGCAGACAGGAGCAACCAAAATTTAGATAGAGGCTACTGGCCCACCACTGAAAATAGTCTCCACTGTGATATTTACATATGAATAAGCTCATTCTCCCCCAAAAAAATCTCCATGT